TGATCGTTTTTTGTGGAATCCTGCCTGGTTTCCTCGAAGCTTCTCGTCTGTTGCCAGCTTGTTTCTCTCCAGGAGTATTCTGTTGAAGACTTTTCCAGGTATGGACAGGAGTGTAATGCCTCTGTAGTTGTTACAGTTGCTGAGGTCTCCCTTCTTTGGCAGCTTGATTAGGTGGCCTTCCTTCCAGTCTGATGGTATTTCCTCCTTTTGCCAAACCTTTTCAAATAGAGCATAGAGAATTTCCATTAACGTCCCTTATCTGCCGTAAGGACTTCCTGTGGTATATGGTCGGGACCAGCTGCCTTGTGGGACTTCAGTGTCTTTATAGCGGCTGCAATTTCCTCTCTTGGAGGTGGTTCCGTAACTATTGGGAGGTCATTTCTGGTTGGAAGAATTTCTGGTTGGTTTTCTGGAGGTGGTCTGTTCAAGAGTTGATCAAAGTTTTCTCTCCATCGGTTAAGTTGCCCCTCTGGGTTGAAGATAGTCTTTCCCTCTTTGTCTTTCACTGGTAGAGTGGGCTTGCCCAACCTACCTGAAAGCGTTTTTGTTGTCTGGTGTACAATCCGCAAGTGCCCGTCTGTTGCTGCTTTCTCTGCCTTTTCGGCCAGGCCATTCAGGCAGGTATTCTTGTCCTTCTTGATGGAATTTTTTACCTCCCGGTTTACTTCGGAGTACTCTTGTTGTTGTGCAGCGAGTTTCTCAGTTCGAGTACGGCTGTTGTTGACTTGGGCCTTCAGCTTTCTTCTTCTTTTAACTTTGTCTAGTGAGTCCTGTGAAATCCATTCATTCCTGGTGTTGTCTTTGGGTCCTAGAGTGCTCTGGCAAGTTGCATTTACTGCCTCTCTTATCTTGTCCCAGTGTTCGTTGACTTCACATTCATCCAGATTTTGTAGGGCTTGAAATATGTTCTTGAGTTCCAACTTGAACTCATTCTTCTCTACTGGGCCTTTCAGAAGGCTAACTTCATTCATACTTTAGACGATTTCCAGTTGTGACTTGTGCATATCTTCTCAGTTTCAGTTTCATCTTTCCAAGGATCAGATAGTGGTCTGATGCGATGTCTGCTCCTCGTAAAACTCGGACGTCCTCCAGTAAGCGTCTAAACTTTCGGGAGATGCAAAAATGGTCAATCTGGTTTTCTGTTGTTCCGTCCAGGGAGACCCAAGTGAAAGTGGCCTTGTGAATTCTTCTGTGGGAAGATTGTTCCTACAATGACCAGGTTGTTGAATGCACAGAAGTTTTGGAAACTTTCTCCGTTGTCACTTGCCTCTCCTAATCCGTGACTGCCCATGACTTCCTCATAGTGACTATTGTCCGAACCTATCTTTGCATTTAGATCTCCCATGACAACGTTGATGTCTTTACCTGGGAAGTTTGTCAATGACGCTCTGCAGGCGGTTGTAGAAGTCATCTTTATTTTCCACTTCTGCAGCATAATTCATCATTGGTTGGAGCATACACTTGTATGATGTTCATGTTTATGACCTTCTTCCTCTGTAAGTGTGCTGACATTGATCTGGCAACTATCTTTTCCAGAATTTTCCCATAGGTGTTCTGCATGGATATCATCCTGTAACCACTGAGAGCTGAGTGGTCTTTTCCTGGTTTGGGGATTGGTATCAACCAGCTGTGCAACCATTCTTCAGGGATTTCACCAGTGCCAATGCTCTTGTTGAAGTCTTTTGTCATTCCTTCAATCATCTCATCATCTGCTTCTTTCATGTGGCAATATCTTACACTATAGAGAGGAAGTCCCTGTTGCCAAATGAGCTTGGCAGCTATAGACCCCATCAAGAAACCTCAGTGAATGCGGCTGTCATAGCGTACGACATCTATGAAGGCTTTCAGCAGCGGAAGGAAACAGTTGTGACGGCACTTGTTGACCTTGAGGATGCTTACAACCGAGTCGGCTATGAACGTGTGATCGACCGCCTCCTGGAATTTGATGTAGAAATATGGCTGGTGAGACTGGGTGAATGGACTTCAGATCCAGTATCAATTGCTCCAGGACGGCCCCAAGGATCCCCCCTCTCTCCTGTGCTTTTCAATGTGTACACTGCACTGGTAACGATGCATCAGACAGAATCTGGACGTGTCCTGAGCTTTGCTGATGACATAAAGGCATACAAAAAAGGAGATGACAGACTTCAAATGGCAGGGAACATGGAGAAAAGACTTCACTCAGCTGTAAAATGGTGCAACCAAAATGAAGCAGTTATCAATCCTTCAAAGGCGCAGGTACTTTGGTGTTCCCTCGACAACAGGATTGTCCAAGACGTAACTCCACCAATCACTTGCAACTATGATTTACTATGAGATTATCGTCAGACAGTCAGAGCTGAAGTATCTGGGAATCGTCTTCGACAGGTCATTGTCCTTCAACAAGCATGTGAATCATATGGTAACAAAGGCCAAACGAGGTGTTGGTGCAATCAAGACCACGGCGGCCGCTCTGATTCCGCAAAGAGTGTTCTTCCTGATATTGCAGCTGTGGGCTGTCTCGCGCTGTCTGACACACAGATCGCAAAGCTGGATCCAGTGCAGAATGAGGCAATGAGAGCAGTGCTGGGCTGCACCAAGGACACTCCAATATTGTGCATGCTAGGTTTAAGTGGCATCAGAGTACGCCATAGGATAGTTCAGGCAAAGATGTATCTCAGTGTAATGGGCAAGAAGGATCATCCACTTCACAAAGCACTTCATGACAACAAGAGAGGCAGAATCAAGAGGGGAAAATCTTGGATGAAGGAAGCAGAGGATTCCCTGAGAAAAATCTGTGTACCTGAAAGCCTACCACTAGGCGAAGAATGGGAACAGGTGACAGGAGAATACAGGGACCTCACCAAGGTCAAAATAAGCATGGGCAGAGAAAGAAGAAATGTTGCGGCTACCATCCACGAGAGCAATATCAACTAAATTGTTGTCACACATACTCAAAAGCAGGGGATCCTATAATTTATATGTAGATGGTTCAGTGAAAAGAGATAGCTAGCGAAGTGGATGGGGATTTGTTGCATTCGTCAACAATAAAATCATACACAGTGCATCTGGAGCCTGCAGCAGGGCTAGTATGTGAATGGAAATTGAAGCCATCACGAAAGCACTTGATTGGATGACCCAAGATCGCCCCCACACAACCAATGCTGTTCTTATCACTGATTCCATGTGTACCCTCAGAAGGATCGAAAAAGGTTTCCTGAGAACAGAATAGATTCAAGCTATCGAACCAACACCTATACGATCGCTCACATGGATTTTCTGCCCTGGCCATGCAGGTGTTAGGGGAAATGAAAAAGCCGACAGATTGGCTGGTGAGGCCACCTTAGTTGACAATACGGTTCAACCAGATAGGGTCGAGATCCTGAAATGTCTCTCTCGCCAGCTGATTGAGGAGGAAGATAGGGAGGCAGAGGCCAGTACTGCCGTGGATAGCAGGAAAGACAAGAAGAACGATCAACCAGATGTGCACTGGCACAATCAGTGGAAGAACCCTCGGCAACATTTTGGAGAGAGCAACGGAGCATCAATAGACATGTCCGAAGTGCAGGGATGTTGCTTCCTGAAACAATGAACAATGACCTTCTTCCTACCATCTCCTACCTTTCAAGAGTTCTTTCTTAATTCCAAAAGTGGCCATGATGATCCTTGGACCATGCGCTTCCCAACCCCTGAATGTCTTTTGAGCTGTTTTTGATATGATCATCCCTACTCCTTCCCTGTGTGGTCCATCACTGTCATTTCCTGAATAAATGAAAAGCTCCCCCTCTTTCATTTGCTTCTGTCCAGATTGGTTCAGGTGGGGTGGGTCTCGCTGATTCCCAGTATGTATAGTTGGTATCGGAGCATCTCTTGGAGAACTTTTGTGCAGTTTTTCCTGCCTCATAAAGGGTCCTAATGTTCCACGAGCCGATCCGAAGAGACTTGGACTTGGATGATGGTGGAGACTTCTGCAGAGCAGCTTCCTTTCGGCTTTCACTGTCTTGCATCATAAACTCTCCATTCAGAGAAGATCCACGATCAGCCAAGCAGAGATAAAATGGTTTTTGTTTGTATGTGTTTCTGTAACAAGTTCTTTTTACTAAAGAGGCTGTTAACCTTGTGATTCAACCTCCAACCTGGAGGGAGGATGACTCTTTTTCAGGAGTCACTAACTGGTTTCGTCATTTAGACGATTCCTACGACACACTAGCACCACGTCAGTCCTATTCTTTTCAATGCCGGGACTGCACGGCTGAGGTAGAGGATAGCTGGTCGTTTTTGTTTTTGTAGGAGTTTTACGGCGCTCGCAACTGCATAAAGGTCATATATGATTATATGAGCGTGCGAGGCACAAGTTGGTTGCATTCACAACAGTTCACTGCACGGCCGGGCTCGGGTCAACAATCAGATTTTTAAATGTTAAAAATTTGAGGTAAAATAAGTTCTTAGTTTTTAAATAGAACATTAAAAATTTTATCACAATTTTATTCACAATTTGACGTAAAGGTCAACGGCCTATAAAATCAAGGATTCTGTTGGGATTAACGACGGAAAACATCTTTGCAATTTATCTAGATCTAGATTCTAGAGGCTACTGTAGCCCAGCCGGCGATTTTTTAGTTTCGTTCGTTAAAGTCAAGAGTAGGGGGGTTTCAGGGGGGCTTGCCCCCCCCCCCTCCCCCCTAAAAAAATATGGAGGTGGGGGGTTCAGGGGGGCATGCCCCCCCCTGAATTTTATCCTAATCTGATGTTTTGCAGTTAGGTTGCATCCCTGCTCTTTGTGTAGCCTAATTCAAATAGTATTTGGTCTTCAAGACTTCTGGATTTCTTCTCTGGATGTAAACAAATGGATCGTGGACTTAAACGAACGGAACTACAAGATCACCGCCCAGCCTACCCTACTGTTTGAAAACTGAATGCAATTTAGATTCTAAGCCAGCCAAACCCACAAAATCCCAGTGAAACAATCTCAATCAACACATTAGAATTCTAGACTCTAGATTAATATTAATTTCACTAACCTGGGAGCAGAAAAAGGACCCAGGTATTCCAAGTTTTATACATGTGGGGCACTGAAGCTTTGCTGGATCCCCACACCCAGGAGATTCACAGACTCGTGAGGGAACTGCAACCGACATGATTGCTGCCGAAGAAGGAACGACACTCGATAGAAATTCCACTTTTTTCCCCCACACTGCTCATTGAAAACTCGATACTCCGTAATTTGGGTGGGCAGCTATCCGGACTCTTCGATTCAGCTTTCGTACTTCGAATCGTAGCCTCTCCGTGTTTAAATGATTGTAGGTCTAGGCTAGGTCTAATAGATATCTAGATCTAGATCTATGTAAGCAACCAATTGGCCCAATAATGAAATTTATCTTTTCTCTGCACCATTCTATGCGTCACTCACTGTGTTCGCTTTTCTACCTAATTCTCACGATTCAATGGATAAACCAAGTGCAATTCATGGAAATTAATTGTGGGCCTACACATAATACATTATGTAATATTATGTTGGAGGAAGTACCTCAATTAAATTTATAGGGCCAACACGTTTAAGGTGCCAAATACTTTTACTAAAGATCCCCATTAATATGCCTCTCTCTCTCTCTCTCTCTCTCTCTCTCTCTCTCTCTCTCTCTCTCTCTCACTCCTGAGATTAATTCCTGAGGTGTCCTTGACTACAAAAAATCACTAGCATGAATGCTTTAGTATGCTGTGAAATTTTGTTGAATGAGTTCACTTGAGCGCTTGCTCATTGTTGCCGTCCAGAGTTTTTCATTGTCTGAAACGACATGAATTTTAAATTATATTTATGTAGTAAATTAGTGAATGGACAATCATGAGACTGTGCATGGTCATACCAAGACCGATTGCAAACGTCCAGAATAAGTGGCTCTACTAAAAACAAAGTTCCCCTTATTCTTAACACAACGTATTGTACGGAGTATGATAATACACGTCCTGTTGTACTCTGTTATTGACCAGTACGTGTCGCACCATGCTCACCAAAAGACAAAACATGCTACCTAACCACTTCGTTGTCATTCAAATGGAAGATAATGAAAGATATAAAGATGTTGTTGTAGTTGTATTGATATTGATGATAAAGATGTGGTGTTGATGATGAGGATGGTTTTGTTGTTGTTGTTGTTGTTGAAAATGGTGATTATGGTAGAAGTCATGATGACAGAGCCAATATGTCAAATCTAGAGATAACCAAAAACTGCTAACAAATGATTTCTTCACAACCTCTGAGGTGTTATATAACCTAAAGGATGGTACAAGTCAAATTATTGAGAGAATGCCGACATGACAATGCACGCAACAATGAACGGAGATTGAACAAAGAAAAAAGCACCTTCAGTGATGACTGTGGTGCTTGGATTAAAACGAACACACCCAGATACTACTACATCGTCAAGTCAGACCGTGCCGAGATGGAAAAGTTGTTAATGAACAAAGGTGTGTACTGTCGAGAGATTCGCCCGAGTGAGAAGAGAGTTTATGCGCCCATAAGCCCCCAACCTGATGCCAGCAACATACTTGTTATGTCCAGGTACTATTCTACCTTGAAGTCTGATTCAGAAAACCGAAGGCGAATATCCTGGATAGAGTCAGGACCACATAAAATTGTCACCCCCACAAGCAAATCAACTTCCTGTGGAATACAGAGGGTATTGGAAGGAGTTAACCATGCCACATGGGAATAGCAACACAGCTCATCCTCATGGATGGTATGTCAGGACCTGCGAGAAAACCATGACAAAAATCAAAGACCTACGCCATCTACCCACAACAACCATTTACAACAAATTACTTTCAGAAGAGAGAGAGAGAAGAGTTTGACAAACCCAGAAACAAACAGCAGACCGAATATAAGCAGTGGGCAGAAAAAATAAAAGAGGGCCAACTTGGAAAACAGGGTTTAAACTTGGCAGACCAAGTTCTACAGATCGCTGATATGGTTAAAACTTATGGAAATGTCGTAAGAAACATAAACTTTCGAATCATCAATAAATCAATGTCTCGCTTTTTGTTTTTGGGTGAGCAATTGGCTGACATACAGGAACCTTGCTCTGGGTCGACAGTTGTCTTGGACATTGATAAGACATACAATCTTGAAGAGCTGTTGGTGACGGCGATGAATTATAAGCACATAGGACTACCTCGTCGATATTGCAATGAGTCACCGATCATGATCGGCCCCATCGACTTTTGAAGCGATTTGTCATTTTTTTCCACCATAGCGGGCACAATTGGACATTTCCCAACAACACCGATGGTGTTTGGATTTGACGATGAAAAGTCAATATAAAGAGCAATTCATTCAGTGTGCTTTTCCAAACTCCAGCCTGGCATTGTGCACGCTCCATCTGAAGAAAAAACGTTGCCAAACATTAAAATTTGAAGGATAAAGTTGGCGTTGCTTCCAGACAGAGGAACATACGGATAATCAACTCTTTGGAGATGACGGGCTTTCAAACTCATCAGACGAGGTCACGTCTGATGTGAGAATGGAAAACCTGAAAACGATGTGGCCGAAAAAAGACGTCTTTCGGTCACACATACGGGCGCAGTGGTTCTCCCCCAGACTCCTAAATCTCTCACGCGTGGCCCAAAGTGCCATACCTCGGGACCTCACCACAGCAGGTGTGCCAAACCGTGTGAGGGGGTGATGTTAACACGGCATCATTGGGCGTAACCACAAGATGAGGTGACCGACCAGGGCAGAAAAAGATCCCAGATGAACCTAACTGCTTCGTGTTCGAGACCAAGGCTACCCACCCGGTGGGAGGATTTCGGCGGTGGTCTGGCATGAAGAGGGATGGGCTCCGCCATGCGACATTGCCCAAGAAATACCAATGAAGATAACATCCATTTTCCAAGATGATCCTGCGAGGCAGCGTCCACGGAAAAAGGAGCAGAGGCAGACTAAAGAAGAGTTGGGAGGACAACATCTCAAAGACATGCTCAGAAAAGCAGAAGACAGAAGACCGGTAGGAGTGGAGGAAGCTGGTGGCTAAATCTTCAAAAGTGCCCCAACGAACATTCAGTCTATCCGTATATATATATATAT